GACTATGTGACTTTTTAACCATGTGACTAGTGACATATGTGAATCAATGTATGCATTCACTTAATGCTGTAATTTCTTCACATTTTTGCTTGTTTATCGATTTTTTATGTACAAATAGGGAGTTCAAAGGCGTAAACCTATTACCCTCAAAGACACTGACTGACTGACTGACTTAGTCGGCCTTAGCATAAATGGCAACTCCTCCGCCCTGGCGATCCCTCCAGTCTCTCCTAAACAGTTGGTATCCTGTTAATGCTACCCGGATATAACCAACGTTCTGTGATAGCAACGTTTCTGTGATTCATATAACGCCCCGAGATTTATCGGATTCCTTTATTCTCAGTTCGTCGAGCTTGGGAAACAGACTCTGCGCATTAGTATGGAAGAATTTCAGTTTGCAATACTCGATAGAGCTTAGTCCGGTTTGACTCAAGTTTGCCAGCACTTCGTTTCCGCTGCCATCATGATCACCGACTGGTTCCTGAGCAACGCCGCACTCCGTCGTATCCCCTGTCCCCTGCAAATAGAAAAGTTGTTCTCTCCAGCTGCAAGTCTCATATTGAGGTCCATTACTAACTCGTGGCGTTCCAGACTTTCCGCTGGAGAGTACCCCGGCTGAAAAACCTTGTGAGAATTTCGAATACCGTTTTTCTTGGACAGAAGTAAACTAGCCTCTTCTTTACGGCCAACAAGAATTTTAATAGTCCGCGGTCGCTCATTTCGAACTGCCCACCTTTTTTGCCGACCCTGAAGACTGAACGAATGGTCACGTTTTCATCCGGATTAAGCATATTGCTCAGCAGATGTTAAAACATATCAAGGTCAGCAGAAATCCTCTTGTTCGGGGTATGAGCATTCGATTCCGATAGGCCATATACGACTTCGCCATTCTGGCGATCGAAGGGTTCCGTTGTTCTAACTCAGACCGCATTGCCAACTAAAGGTCCCAGAAGATCCACCAGGGTTGCTTTAGACTTCGTACTATTGTTGTGTTGCTTACCCACTGCACTTTGCCACGACTTTGGCTCTTCACTTTCAACCAAGGGCCTTGTTCTACACACGGAATGGCTGAAAGAGGTCGATGGTTCTCTTCGATTGCCATCTACAGAAACAAGAGGCTGCGTCGTTACTATCCCAGCGTTGTGGACATCCGCGACCTTATATTAACGTTATTCACAAATTGTGTTCTTTGTCCGTTTTGGTGTTTTGCTCTTTGCCCTTGACTCGTTAACACTGGCGCTGTTGACCGCACTATCAGTACGGAGAGGATAATTTGTAAGTCACTGATTTGGTGGTGATGGTGTTAGTGGCGGCGACGTTGATGGCGAGGGGTTTTCGAATAGGCGGCGGGGGTTTGGCGTGTCGGCTTCGCGATGAATTCCGCTGTCGTGAGTGCGCGTCTGACCACGAAACCCCCTGCGGTGCCTAAGTGTCCTGGTACATCGCGCAGAGGTGATGTGCGTTTGTCTCATGTATAAAGGGTCCCAAGGCACCGGCTCATCGGTGTTAATGCGATATCTTTGTAAGCAGCCGACCAGGCCAATGTGCAATGTGCAAGTACGATGGCAACGGGGGTAAGCTGGGATTGAGTTCACGTAACTTGTGAAAGGAACCATTTTGATGGTTTTGGATGCCAGGACGTGGGGAGTGTTCTCAGTGTTCGTGGGGTCGGGATGTTGGCGGTAGTCATCGCCGTCGTCAAAGGGGTCGAAATATCGATAGTGGACGCGACGAGACATCGGAAAATTACTCATCGATTGTAATGATCGCCTCGTCGCCATCGTGATTACTGAGGTAAAAATGATAGCAGAGGTGTTCTTGGGGACATCTTGAGGGGTTGCCGCGTAGAGTGCTGCGAAATATGTGGAACTCACAGCTACTGATGACACCCTAATGTTCCTTTCACGTTCTCAATATTATTAATCTCCGTGTCCATCCTTGCAAACTGTTAAAGCTTCTTGATTACGAAGCCAATCGTTAGGTTATTTGTGTTTAGACGATTACCGGTCAGCGAAAGAGGTTGCACAAGGAGTTAATTTGGATTCCTCATATTGACCCGACGGTAAAAAAACTAGGCGCATCGGTGGGATTCGAACGCACGCAGTAAATGGAAGGCTTAATACAGTCGTCGCGCGACGCGAGCTCAATCCCATTTGGGTCAATTTACCCGCCCAACCTTCTGCAACGCCTGGAATACACCAAATTTGATATAGTAATTTCACAGCCCAGGCAAGGTTTCCTAAGTAATTCACCTAGAATCCACCAGATGACTACCTGGCTAAGGTAATTCATGGATATTTTGGCAGATTTTGAACAATTCATATTGACCCAATTGTGGAAAACTCGCGCCTCGATGAGATTCGAACCCATGCAGCAGGGGAAGACTTTTGTACAGCCAACGTTCTAGCCATTGGAGCTACAAGGCCCCGCGGGACGACGCGAATCCACCGAGGCGAGTAGTAAAATGAGGCAGTGACTCAGAGTTACTCGGAATTTATTGGCAGCCTAAACGTACTTGTTAATTATGTAACTCGCTTTCAGCATGTTCCAGCTTTATCCATTTGCGGAGCTTGCCGTTTATGATGGCATTGGATTGATATTATCTTGTAGACTACAGTGGCTATAGAAAACCAGATGACCATTTTCTAACTATTTGATTAGCTTATTTTCACATTTGATTTTTCTGGATTTTTACACTCCCGATGCCTTCTCCTGCTCAATTGCTATCTTCCAGTTCATAGTTTTGTTAATATTTTTTGTCGTCCACATATTTTGGAATCGCAGACCCCACGGTCAAGTTGTTACAGGAATTCGTTAAGTTGTTTTCACCTTCCGTCCCACTTGTTGTCCATCTTTACTCCACACGTTCCTTTAATACCCACAAAAACGGCCGTGGTTGGCCTTAATTTCACTCCGTAAAAATAAGCATCATATACTCGGGAGTTTACTGCCTTGGTTTCAAGCTCGAGGGTCCAGAGTTTTCAACCTTTATCCTCTCTTAGAAAATCCGAGGTACTTGGGGTCTTGGAGATCATGCGTCACTATATGGATAGTAGCCCGCCGTAACACATCAAGATGCCTTATGTAGCGGGAGGCAAGTCAATTTATCTTTCAAACCACTTGTTCTATTTATATTGAATTTGTTTAGTTTATGAGTTTATTTGCTCGCAAGTCGATCACCTGGGAATCGGGTTTGGGATACGAGTGACATGTAGGCGTATGCCCCAGCATAAATTTAAAGTGTGCGCTTTACTAGCACAAAAGTACTAGTGAACTACCAGAGATTAAATTAGTGGTGCTGCTATGATAGTATGCGTCCCGCATTAAATTCTCAGTGCTAGTATAAAGTGCGGCCAGACGTCTAATAGTCAATGCAAGGATGACCAAGTGGTGAGCAACAGAGTAGTCGCTACTCACCTTGACTTAGACGGCAGTCACTGCGCTATTAATCGGGCTGTACCAATGCATGCGCGCTGGCAAAACCGCCAGACAGACTGTCCCCCCTTCAGGAACATTTCTGTAGTACGCAGCCCTAGGCATTATAATTAAGCAGCCTACTCGACCCTGCAAGTTCCCGATTCCGATTGTGAGGTGCATGTCCAAGGTAAGCAGTTTCGGCCACAAAAGACCCATTCACCAAGTGCTTCTTCTGACGATCTGTCCGCCCAACGGAGTTGCATCTGCCCAAACATGACGTAGGTACTTAAAAAGCCGGCTCCTCGCAGGTCCGAAACCCTCTCCTCACCTTCACCTTCAGAGTTCTTTGGAGGCAATCGAGGCACAGATAGTCTGGCTTTCTTGCTTTGCTTTTGCACACAGTCAATGTATCCACCCCGCACAAGGGCATAGTCAGGTCAGCAGCCCAGTACCTTCTCAGTCTCTTGTTGAGGGGAATGTTGTGGTGATTCTAGACGAAACATTGCAGCCTGCCACATACCTGGCTGATTTTGGAGATCTGGCATACAATGTCGTTGTTTATGTTGGCTTTTCATGAAATAATGGACGCCAGTTGCGCGGGTTTGTTCACGGTGATTTGTGTCCCGTTGAAACCTGCCATGGAATAATTTAACCGTCATTTGACGCCAGTTGATGCAGTACTACTGTCATCTCCGTGCTGGTTGTCAGTTTTGGCAGTCCACATTCCGTTGCACGTCTGCTCTTGTGATTGTATTTGGCGCACAGTCATTCGCAAATAAGGGACCGTAAATATTGGCTTTGGGGATTCTTGGAAGTACCTGCATGCGTTGAACGCTGATTACTTGACCGTCGAGTGGGCAATCGACGCCGATTCAAGGCAGTCGCCCACTGTGGGCATTCACCAACAGGATGGAGAGCATGAGGCTGAAGAGGGCGTGAGTGGATACACAGTCTTGTCTTGTCCCATTTTTTGCTGTGAAATCCTTTGGGACTGACGCGTTGTCTGTGACGCGCACCACCATCCCATCACGCAGATGTCATGTCATCTGTGTAAATTGCCCCGTACTTCTGACCATTAGCCCTATATCCCACAGTCAACCGTGAATAGCTGTAACGAAGGCTCTTGTCAGGTTTTCGGAGTTGGTGTAGAGGCTGATCCGTGTTTCTAGGTACTTTTCCTACAGTTGGAAGGCAGAAAAAATCACGTCTACAGTTCGACGTCGTTTCCGGAATCCTCATTGTGCCTCTGGAAGGAGTTCCTGCTGCAGACGCTCGTTCAGGCGATGAGCAAATATCTGGCCAGCAGTGCTGAGAGGAGAGTTCCCTCTGCGGTCGTCGTAGGCTTTGCGGTTTCCTCTGCGTTGCTAAAAGTTGAGGGTGGTCGTTTGTTTGGAGTCGTGTGGGGTTTTCTTGTTGTCATATCTCCTGGGCTAGTGGAGGAAATTGATCGTGAGTTGAGGGTCGTCATATTTGCGAATTTGGGATGTAGTTGAGTCGGCCCTTAATGTTTGGACGTTGGACAATTGTTGAATTGCTTTGATTGTGTCCACGACATGGTTTTCTTTCGGTATATGCAATTGTCCCAGTTTGAAACTAACGTTATGACTATGGTCCATCCGCATTCCAGTGCATCTAGGAGAATAGTATGTAATTTAACGGATTTTTGCGTACATTGCTGAAGTTCACAAGGTTGGTGTTCCACCCTATTTTTTCTTTTAGACGATGTAGTGGTTTGTCTAATTGTCTCATTACACAATATCTTGGTCGCTAGCCGATTACACTTGCTATGCCTTCCTACGAGAGCATAGTTCAGGATTTATCAGGAGCGCTAGCAACGATGTATCTATATTGTCTCCTCTTTGGCATGGAGTGGAATGCGCTGATGAGGAGGAGGCTGTGGTCTGGCAGGTCCATAGTAGAAGGGAACTATTGCTTTTGTCCTCGGCACAGCTCTATGCAGGGAGTAGCGATCTTCGTTGATTATGTCATCCTCGTCTTTGAGACTTGGCAAAGAAGGAGCTTAGGCGTTGATTATGGTGTCGAATTTCTTTTTGCGGAAAAGCAGTCCCATGGTCTTCAGAAGACCGTTGAGTCTCTTGCGAAGCAAAGCAGCCATCTTATGACGTCGTTTTTGATGGTAGGGGTAACGCCGGCGTCCTGATACTCTGCCCGTAACGTCCGAACCTGTCCCTCCAGTTGTTTTCTTGTAGAAGCGTGTGTCTCTGAACCGGACTTTCTTGCGAGCCACTGTACGGACAACCAGGACTGTCCTCATTTCCGATGGGTTGGCCGTCGAGTTTAATAAAAGTGCACTAGCATTCCAGACTGCCAGAGTTAGTAGGACCAATTTTACGAACTGTGAGCATGCACGAGAAACAGGGGTTGTTGTTTCACGTCCTTCTCCGACGGTATTGTTTTCGTCAACAAGCCACGGTTAGTTTGCCGAAGTTATGTTTTGGTGACGTTTTAAAGTCACATTTAACTCCCCCCTCCTCAGCGAGGACGTATGTGGGCCTTCCGCAAGAACAGTTCATGCATCATCGGGCGTCTGCCGAACGTCACCGTCTGTCATGATTTTTGCTTAGTTAGATGACGACTCAAATTATCCGGGGCCGCCTTCAGCGTTGCGTATCGTCCACTTCTTAGGTTTTTGTTCACTGTTGTGGAGGAAAATCATAAATCAACGTTTACTAAAAGCGATATCTATAGTTGTCACTATGTCCCTCACATATTTTTATGAGACAAGTCAGTAAGTGCGTTTTTTCCCGTAGCACTCAGTCAACGTTTGCTTTTCGACTTTTAGGGCGCCTGGTAGAAAATGAACCTTGGAGTTTAAGCTACGTCGCTCGGACCATTGGAGGACTTTTTGACGTAGTGCTGCTCTTGTAAGCTGTCATCTTTCTAATTAGTCCCCTCTCTGTTCTAGCTTTAGCACACTGCTCCCCCTCAATGTAAGTTTGTGAACTTTTTGATCCTCCGCTTGACTAGTTGATTGCCTCAAGAGGTGGTAGACAGCCACAAGGCAACAGGAGTAACAGGTAAGTTATAAAAAATGAGTACCAGTCACCACTATTCATTTGCTTAGCAATCAATCAAACATTCGACGCGGTGGTAACCGTCCTGGTGAGTTAGGTTCTTTCCATGGTTGGCTTAATGTCTTTTGAATTCAGTTTGGCCAAGGTGACTATTATCTTCCTACAGCCAGGGGGATGGTTCTCATCAGGGACATCATCAGTCTTTGCGTTGAATTTGGCATTGAGTTCTCAGCACGAATGTCTATCTGTCAGGTGTTATGTTGGGCGCTTTTATTACTCTCCATATGCTAGTAAAAAGTCAATTCCTGCAGCTACTTAAAGACAGAAGGCCAGGCGTCAAATGCAAAAGAGGACACTTCGCTTTCTTATGGGAAATTCGTGTATGTGAAAATATGCGCGTCGGTGCCTGTGTTGTAGGGTTGTCGCAGAATTACAGTACCTTGTTCCTTCTTCTGGTGGCTTAGCTACAGCATTGCCGCGTACCACCCTCACAACATTTTAGATTACGTTTCTCAGTTCCTTTGTCTTGAAATTCTACCAAGTCGGCAGTTTCGTCCTTAAGATGCAGAGGAAGTGCCAGACTCCTGTGTTCTTAGAAGGCCTCAAATTTTCCAGTGAAACGTTACAACTGGGAGGAAATGCCATGACCACTAAAGTGCTAAACGCTTCTTTGATTAAAATTGTTCACTTCTGTAAACGGGCCTGCTTGAAAAAACCGCCTATTGGCATTGAAACTGGCAACGCGCGCCCCAACATCTGGCAATGATTTCATTAGGCAACAGCGGAGTGCCCACACCAGTTAGTTCTGATTCCCCGAATACGTTTCTGGCAGAATAAATTACAGATAGTAATTTAAAAGTGAACGTGCACTCGGGAGACGGCAGAATTTATTGACCTCGAAAACGTCCACCTTCATTTTTCAACTGCTACCTGAGCAGCCATGAAAGACAACGGAATCTACGTATTCGCCTGAGTAAGATTTAACTTTCTAAGTATATGCTCCCTTTACGTACCTGTAATATACTCGGTACGACTGTGAGCATGCCTGATTTAGTCCGTCTCGATAATATTCAGCATCGAATTTCTCCACTCTTGACGATCTGCAGCGGCGGATCAGGAGACCTCGATCCACTTCTGTCCAGCTGCGAAGGCCGGATTTCAAATACCCAAACATCACATCCTTGTCTTGGTTGACTGTGTTGAGTTAGGCTTTGAGTTGACTTCTTCGCCGCCTCTAGGTAGGCATCGACATCCAAGGGCAGCATCACTGAACTTGGAGTGGACGACAGTAAACACTACCAAATTACCTTACCCGCCTTTCTTTGATGGCCTGAAATGTCTACAATTTTGCCCCGGTACGCGCAGACTCTCTCGTTCGAAGTGAAGTCGATGTACCTTTTTGTCAACGGTGGTCAGACATCTCTAGATTTCGCCCGTCTTCCACACTTCCAGTTCAGAGCTGACAACCATCCAACACTGACCGGCTAGATGCTTAGTTAGCTCGGACCTTTTTTCCGATGAAGATATCTCGACCAACTAATGAACACTTGAGAGTCTCGATATTGCTTTTACTCAGTCCATTTGGCAGTAACATCCCCGAGAGTTATTTGAACTGCCTACTACTTCAAGCTAAGGGTGGCTAATCGCGAGGGGTTCCTTCTGATCGGAATTGCAGGTCTAAAACACCGATTGTTGCAGCGTCGATGGATAAACCGACCGATCTATCCACTTCGTTTACCTGATTGTCATAGCTTGATGCTGTCAGGGCAGTATAGTTAACATGGTTCAGGTAAGCCAGTCGACGTCTCCGTGTAATGCAGTGTTGGAGCCTTGGGAACAAAGGCGAGATCTCAGAAAGTTTGTTTGCTGGCTAGAGGCACTAGCCAATAGGGAAACGGATCTTTTCCGACGTCGGAAGCCTTGCTGGCATGTAATTATGTTATTTGTGTGCTGATGGTCATCCTGGACATAGAACACACTTGCATTCGTAATCCCACTGGAGGTTGTGTTCACGGTCAAAGCATTTCCATTATCAGTCCTTTCAATGATGTAACGTAGTTCCTACTTGACTGCATTTAAGAATTCATCCTCAAATGTCAGACGTTACGACAGCCTTTTTTGTAACTGACTACCTCTCGGACTGTTAGACCTGGGAAGGGCTTGGTCTGTTTACCACCGGTGAGAATTCCGGTTTGTCGCCGTCATGGAGAGAGGCCGTTACAGGTCACGTGGTCGTTTGATTTTACCTATTGAATATCTCGTCTGTAGGTAACGGATAGATTCCAAGCCGGTGAAATGCATCAAAAGAACTGGGGTAGTAAGTGGGGCCTTTCATCCAACTGTCCGCTTTTGAATACGTTCGATAATAAGCGACCAGGGCGTGTTTCTCCTATATTCTGGGTGTTTGGCTACTAAATTTACATCTTTACACGTTCGCTAAATGCTAGCCCTTTAAGCCGTCGCAGTTTTTCAAAAACTCGGTTATTAGTCATTATTTTGATTAAACAAAGTTTAACGTAGGGAGTAGTGCTTTTAAGAGTGTTGGCGTTAGCTTTGAAACATTCCATCCACTACCCTTATCTGACTCTGTCACTGATGATGGGTTCGAGTGAGGGTCCGAAATGGCAGGCTAATAAACTTCTTGTTCCTCTTCCTCTTCTTGTTCTTCTTCCTTTTCCTCTTGTTTTCTTCCTCTGAACTGCCTCCTGGTGCTGTCATGGTTGTTAATAGGTCTTCATGGGGGAACAGCCTGTTATCCTCAATTTTACTGACTGGTGTGCGGTCGGGCTTCCATTGGCTTGCGTGCCCTGATCCCGTTGTCATATATTTATGATAACGCGATATTGTGTACTTATACAGCACTAATAGTATGTTTGTGCAAAACAAATTAGAAACCTTCCAAAGGCCTTTTGAACTCCTATCATACGCATTAATAACAACGGTGCAAGTTTCTCGGAGTTTTAAACGCTGAACCTACCTCTTCGACGTGTTAGACGTACAATAAGACTGTGCTTGCAAGTCATCCTTTATTCGCACAATACTAGTGACAGCATTTACGAATTTTGTTACTAAACCTTATGAGAGACCGCCCGTTTGTTCGGCTGAAAACCCCGTTCACAAAAAGGTGATATATTGGGGGTTCTTCATCGGCCTAAATACCTGTTGCTGTTGAAAATTAATCGTTTTGTCTTCGTTTTTTCACTATCTCCTTTTTACTAAGAGATCGACTTCTCAAAAATTATACGCAATTACACGACGACCGCCTCGTGTTCTCGGTGACGTCGGATCCAGAGTTCTTTAATCGTATCTGGTCTGAGAGGAGGGTTTCGTCGTCTGGGGACCAAAAACCTTCATGCTGTTACACTGACGGGCCTGGACTATTTTGATAATCCCACTTTATCTTAAGAGCACACGCAGTTGTAGGCTTTTGCTGAACCGAGTATTGGCTCACTGCATCCGAAGTCAGGATAGCATAGAACTCGGGAGTTAACTGGCACAATCCCTTCCTAACAATGTGAAGACTGTCTATATCCTAAGTTTTCGAGTTTTCCTTTATACAGCGGCTCCTGCTCCTCCTCCTTGCTTTGGTGGTGGATGAGGTTAGATCGTCCCCGAGACTGGTTCTTCACCAGGCTCAGGGACGCTATATGGGCCACGGAAGCACTCCTCCCTGAGGTTTCTAGTGGCCTCCGATCACGCCCCCTTCTTTACTGTCGTCTATGAAGTGCGTCCGGCAAAGCACGCCTGCCCCGGCCGAACTGATGTCATGACAGTAGCAACGGTGTCCGTCCTCTCTTAACTATGCCATCCCCTCTCTCCTCCAACCAATTTCCCTGGTATGTGCCTAATTTTAGTGTTCATTCAGGTTAAGGTAGAGAACCCACTTCCATGCGACTATTTTACCCGATGTAAATTCGAACTATTCCCGTTTATTCTTGGGCTTGTGTCATCCTATCTTACTTTTATCTCCTCTTTGTACCGCTACTGTTTACTTTTTGTGGTGTATGAAGCCTTCCTAATACTTGTCTTTCGTTTGCTTGGCAAATACAACAACTGATGCTACTATTAATGCCTTCCACTCCTTATAATCAGAGGGAGCGCTTCGCCTTATGGGTGGTTTCAGGTAAACTATTTGACAGACCTATCAGAGCCTTGCCTTGCACAATTCCCCAAGCACAGTCCCCTAGACTGCTACTTGTCTCTACCATTTTTAGCCGAAGGTTGAGAGACGGTCGATACGGCATGCTCATTGAATTCTCCCGTCCCACAACACAGTTCTTTGATAAAAGCGCAACCAGTATTTCTCAAAAAGATGTGCTTCTTACTCATTTTTCAAGTGGAGTTGCCTTTGTTTATGATGATCTAAAGGTTGATGCCACTGATCGAGACAGGTTGAATTTGCAGTCGCAGGAGCTGTCAACGTGTAGTTACTGTCAGTAGTTAGTAGCAATGGAGACTTTGTTCGTTCCCCCGTCCTCAGTCCCATGTTCATGTGACATGCGTTTGATTTTTCGGACAGCTGAACTTCTGGTGTTAAATACGCGTCTGATACAAGGGGAAAAATATATCACCTTGTACTTCATGAACCTGGTCCAAATGCACTTCCATCGAATATGCTGCGTGGGCAAATCTAGCTTCTGCTCAAACGGTACAAGTCAGCTTGTAACAACTGGCAGACCGGATCGAGTGCAAACGGCAGTTTATGTCCATGAAAGTGGTGCATTATGAGAAGCTTGTGTCTGATAGGTAGGTAGTTTCAGTTGCCGGTTCGAGATCGCAGTGTCTGTCGAGGCATCGGGTAGGGAAACTTCCGCAACGGAAAACTTGAGCGAAATAATCGACTGTTCGTGAAGACTTCACAGATTTTGCCCACATTTTTAAACAGTGGCGTCTGAGGGCTCACCACCTAAGACAAGGAAAGACGAGGAACTCCTTTTTCATAATTACATTCGCAAAAATCTATTTACTTACCCTAAAAGTGTTTTGGCCTCGGCGAGGACACGTCAAGTTAGGTCAAGGAAGCGAACTGTCAAGATGGATATCGAGAAACTTTACCGACAGAGATTATAGGCATTCACTTATTAACTGCCGCTATCGACACCCCGGATCTTTCGCGGATGGCAGAACGTCCTTTAGTTATTCCATAGTGCTGTCCATATCGTTATCCTCGAAGTAAGGAACTCTGATTGAAACCCCGACTCTTAGAAACTTCAAACACCGTTTTGTCGAGGAAAGTTGCCATTGATGTGCATTAAAAGAATAGTAAGCACGACAAGAGAAAGCTCCCTAGATTAGTCGGCGGAACGTTTGATGACGCTAAACAGATAAACGGGAGCTGCGGTTGGTCTCTGTTTTGTGAGTTCGTCGCTGGCCTATACTTGGGCAACCGCCAGCAAGCATTAGATGTTAGTTGGGCAGACTCCCGCGTTTGAGTAATGAGCAACCGCGAATCGTTAGCGGCTTGTTGCCAGTCATTGGAACTCATTAGTTTGTTAGTAATTATTGCTTTATAAAATGCAACAGGGGCCGATGAGTGGGTTACATATGGTCATCATGAACCGCCACCAAACCACTTCTTGAATCCCATACCATGAGGGCGGAATATTTCCTCTTAAGTCGACTTGATGACCAAGGAACTGGACCTTTAGCAATCTCTGCAACCGCGATAATTATACACTTCCGTCATTTGAAACCTTTTAACTCCAGGACCTTTTACAGTGAGACGGATACTAACTGAAGATTTGTGTTTCTCTAAACTTGGGGATCGTTTGTACCGGAAACGCAGAGCTTGTCCATCCGGCATTAACGGATTACGCTGTGAGCGTAGCCTGCCTCTACGAATTGTGCTTTCAAGTCCACGGTTTGTGCAGTACCAAAGCACCAGACAGCGATAGATCATTCTGCCTGGAAACCCCGCCCCTTTGTTATATTTTCATCGTCAGGGTAATTGCAGTGTGGGCGGACGTTTTGCAGTGGTGGTAGGCGGAAGTACGCACAAAAGTAGCGCGCTCGTCCCAAAGCACGACATTGTTGTTGTGGAGGGAAATACGATACCGACGGCCGACGCTTTGATCACTAAGCACTGGAAAAACCGTTACCCTAGTGGTAAGGGGATTTTTGAATTTCGTCACGCCTACCCACTTGATCTTCATTACAACTGACCTCATAACACAAGTGCATTTAACTAAGATTGCCACAAGTGAACTCAAGTCGATTGCGCACTTGTCCGAGTCCCATATCAGACTTTCGCACCATTTATAATTTCGATACCGGTAAAAGCGATAGTTCTGACCACGCACTTATGAGTGCTGTGTCACGGCCCTGACTGCAAAGCGCAGCCTGCGGAGAAATTCAACTGAAAAGGAGGATATCTAGTCAGTGGGACAAAAATAAAGAAGATAATGGCTACAAGGAGTACAGTATTCACAGGATGTAGTTTGCACACAACCACATAATTATTACAAATAGCAGCTCTTGCACTAATCATAATGTTCGTGCTCGGTGCAACGATTGCTTAACCGGCCCACACGAAAGCCCGTAGTGGGTGCGGCGATGAACGTCGGAACCGCGAAGTTCGACAGGTGGGCGATTGCGTAGCCACTGCATGTAAGTACCGCAGCTCCTGCGCGTCCCCTATCATTATTTATTGCTGTCTCTGATGATGAACCCGAGATTACATTCCAAACGTCCGGCGAATGAGATTCTTCTCTCGGTGATCGAGTTTCTTTGGCTGAATGCTGTAAATATCCCAAATACCTCTATCACAGAACTGAACTGTTGGCTGTCTCGGTAATTTCCCCAAATATTCCCATGTTACACTTGAAAATTCAAGTTGGCAAACACGTGTTTTCGGTAATTCTTCGTCAGGCCAATACAGTTACATAGAGGAATGAAAACATGCAATACTAACAGTGTTTATAGGTGCCTCAAGGTCTATTAAGTCATTGACACTCATCTTACCTACGCCGCCCGCGTGAAGAGTTCGGCGGGTTTTAGTCCTCAGGACTAGGGGAGGGGGTTCAGAGAGTCTTTGGGTGATGTCCTTGGATTGAGTACACGGAGTAGCCATCACAGTAATTAGGGATTTGGAGCGAAATTTCACCACTTGAAGTTGGCGTTGGCCATGATAGAGAGCGCTTATGTCAACGTTTTCTGACAGCATAGCACTGGATTCGTTAGCCGTATAGCCGCTGCCTCGGCCGTTGCTAGTATCCGTTGGCGTAGGCCTTTAGAGAAGCTTGTTGGTGTCCGGTAATGTTATTTCAACCGACATGCCTGTGACTATTTAAAAATCTGGCTTAACTAACGCAATCAATAGTAAAAAATAAGTGATTTGCGACGGAACCTATACTTCAGAGTATTCTGGTGGGGGTGCTAGACCGAGACAGGTCTCGTATAAGGCACTGGCTACTTAAACATTTTACATACTTTTTAGTATTCAGTCTCTACCCCCTGACACTGTTCCCACGTCCACAAATTAAAAATTTTAGCTAACGGCGTGCACAAGTCGGTCGCTGTAGGTCACCTAAAATGTCATAACGTCAAACTCTACGTACTGCATGTGTTGATTCGAACGATCCGACATGCAACCTCTTCGTTCACAGCCGTGCTATGAACATGTTTCATTGTTTGCCGTTAAACGAGTTTGACAATCGCTAGTGGTCGTGTGGCCTGTCCTCGCGCAATTTTTACTTGCAGCCTAACAAAATGTCTGTCATAGTATTTAAACAAGGCGAAGGATGAGAAACATGAAGGATTCAATGACGTCATGAGATTTCGCGACTTCCTATCCATCTGCGTACGGTCACTGTGCACTAGTAAGACAAGAAAGCGACCTAAAGCCTTTGTATGGTTAAAATTTATTTGGGGAAACATGATCGTATGATTAGCACAGTAGCCATTACACCACATTAGAAGTGGTTGTGGAAGAAAGAGGAATGTTCTAACGGTCACAAACTCTTTAACCACGGTGTATTCTGATCTTAAAAAAAATAAACAGAAGCCAGGAGCTGTAACCTAGTATAAAATAGGACAGCATGTATTCATTTATCCTCCTGGTCGTCCCAAATTCCACTTAACGTGTCGCCTTTAGTTTGCATGAAAATATATATATATATATATATATATCCATATATATACATATATATTATGACACTGGGCGCTCGCCGATCAGGGTAAGGAACATACTCGTTCCGTTGTGCCTTGGGGCTCATACTATAACCCTCGCAGGCAGCCGCACACCGACTAGTAGTAGACATAGGTGAGATAATACCCGCAAAGACAAGGGAGACCGGAATGGCCATTTCTGGCTTATTAGCCGTCATCAGCCAGTCATACCCAACCCCAAGTGTGGATCACTTGAGATTCGAACCCGGGATCTTTGGTCATGGAGTTTGATGCTCTACCATTGAGCCACGGGCCCGTTGTCATGTCGGTTGTGATCGGGAATATTAATTATGACAATGGGCGCTCGCCGATCAGATATTATCTCATCTATGTCTACTACTAGTCGCTGTGCGACTGCCCGCGAGGGTTCTAGTATGAGCCCCAAGGCACAACGGAACGAGCATGTTCCGTAACCTGATCGGCGAGCGCCCA